TATGGGCGCACAAAATATTCCAGAATCTACCCGATATCCTCATCTATCTTTCTGAATCGTGAGAAGTGGTTCCACTCACTTTTCGAACAGCTCCCACCGAGTCCACGCCGGATTATTCGCAGCCAATACTCTGAGCCTACCGTTCCATCGGGGCATACATGCCTGGTGCCGTTGCTGCTGAACGTCATATAGTTACCTCGTCGCTGATATAATGCTAGAATGCTGCGGGGATGACCAGTTCAGCTGGATGCAATCACGTCCCACTCGAAGTTACTTTACAGTCAAACACTCCAATGCATTCAAAATGATGACTGCGGATATAAGAGATCAGATTCTAGATGATCTCTTGTAATCTCATGCACGCACTCACTCTCTGAGTTCGCCTTTCAAGGACAACGAACCGAACCATCAAACTACTGCCGTGCATAACTGGTTTCGACAACCTGGCGTGCCTTAAAGGCACAGCCCATTGCGAGTTCAGCTGGATGAATTCTGTATTGGGTAAAGCCGCTCATGAAGTACGCAGATGTACCGTCCTCCCAGCTCTAAGGTGTGCAGCAAGAACGCTAGAGATTTGCAAAACTCGCTTCAATTTTTTCTCGGCGGCAGAATGCTAGTGTCTCGCGCTCTCTCATCTGCTGTGCTCTCTCGGCTATCTTCACTTGTTCGTGCTCAATCTCTCATTGTCTAGCCACAGCAAATCGAATAACTGACCACTACTTTTGGTTTAGCGTTGCCGACGGATTTTTTCCCTTTTCTTACTACCGGTCCACTTTGCCGCTTCCGTTTTCGTGTGCGAATCACGCCAATGTCATCCCAGGGCGTATTTTCAAATAGGAGAGATGGCTAGTGCAGTCGCTTGACCATAACACTATTGAACCGCCACGAGAAGACTGTAAAGTGGTTTTGTACAAACAAAGTCAGGAATTGTTGGAAGAAAAACTTGTCTAGTTCGAGAAGAAAATGGGATGAGATGCCTGAATAGCGGTGAATTCTCCCACGCGTGAACACTCAAGCCCTGATGAGCTTTCACCATCAGGGTATCTTTAACGAGGACTTGTACCTGCTTAATTTCAATCGTTATGTAGTTGACTGTTCCATTCAATTGTAAGTTTTTCACCGTATTGAACTTTGCTGGCATTGCATCCTCCTGAGAAAATTTTAGCGGAACGTCTCTTCCAATTTCCATCATGTTTTTACCCAACATGCGTACGTACGTTACTTCAATAGGAGCTGGTTGCCTTCACAAAATATGAAAATTCCAGCAAGATTCATCAAAGGCGACTGTACTCGTTTTCAAAGACAAAAACAGCGTACATTTTCTCTACTCTCCTTTATTGAGCCTGGATTGGATTCATTAGGCAAGCGTTAGATACCAAGCCATCTTACACATATAAACCTCACTATATAACGACTGCTCTTTTACGACAGGTTGGTATGGTGGTTTAACTTGTCTCCCTATTGAATGGTGATGGATCTCATACCGTTGACATTGAACGTTGGATACTGGGACTGATGAGTCCATCGGCAGTTGCCTTTATTAATATTGTACTGATTTGTTTGGACCTTCAAATGGAGGGACCTGAGTCGCCTGTATGTTTATGGAGTTGTTTAAGGGTAGTTACGAGGGGATCGAAGGCGCTAATGGTCAGGCGTCGTTGTCCATTGCGTTGTATTCGTGGCGACAGAAGTCGCTTGCCCGGAGGGAAGAGTCCCGGAGACCGCTGGAAGCGAAGACTGTTCTCGGTGCCTCAGACCGTGGCATTTATATATCTGACAAGTATGTGTACCTGAGCAAGTGGGCAGTGATTGGAATGGATTGCCAGCGGGCGGCAAATTGAAACTGGACGCGGTACTCATTCGATTGAATGACGTGGCATTGTGTTTAAGAGGCACGGGCCGGAATTGAGTTGGTTGTTATTTTGTTCGAAAACTGGATAAGAAATACTATGAGGAACTTAGTGGTAGAAAAGCAAAGCACCATAGAAAACACTGAAATTTCCCTTGTGAGGTCGGCCGTGGTATGACGGAGAGACACAGCGCTGCGAGGAGAGGGAAAACGCGAGATAGTACGTCGTACGCGAGAGGGCGCAGACGCCACGTATGCCGCGATTGATAAGGATGGCAGCATGGCAGCACACAAGGCGTGGAGTTAGCGCCGTTGCCTCTGCTTTTGAGTCACGACAGCGTTACGCCTGCGCTTGGGCAACTTCTTGGCACCTAATCCCGACCATGGTCAACCGTTGCGTTCGCACCTCTTTGAAGTTTTTGCGACTCCCCCCTCTGGAGGGGGTTCAGGTGCGACCGCTCTTGCTATCTGTTGCTATAAAAGTAACCCTCATTGGCTGTGAGTCTCAAGGCATTAAACATTAATTAATTGAGTAGCGCAGTCTTCAGCGGATGACCCTTTCTGGATGTGGGTCGCAGCTGCTAGCGATTTTTCCACCACCATGATCAAC